TAAGCGAGTGACGATACGACCGTCGATACGACGGCCGGTATTGTTCTGTTAGAACAACTCGCACTCACGGTCCGGAGGGTTGACTCGAGCCGCATGTGGTGGCTCCTCAATTTTCCAGAACCGCTGGACGACGTCCCGAAAGGGACACGCCAACAACAGAGAGCGGGTCGGCCGTCTGAGGAGGTGGAGACCACAGAACCGGTCCAAAGAAACTGTGCCCAAATACAGTGGACACGGCCGACAAGCCATCGGGCTGCAGGGCTCGTATTTCGCCTAACAAGATGAACCCCAGGGCGTCGGCCCCCAGCAACAAATCTATGGGCCCAGGTTGGCACCATTGAGGGTCTGACCCGACGCACAACAAACCGCGCTGTCATTTATACGGACGTTAGAGAGAAAACCTACAATGTCATGGAGGACATTTACCTTGACTAAAATGTGAAGGTGTTCGCTGGCGGGGGCTGAACACCAACTCTACTTGTCCCCTAGGAGCAGGAGGCTCGGCACCTCCGATACCTACCATCGGACGTGAGAGAGAGCTCCAGGGGAGCCCCAGTCTTTCAACCAACCAAGTGGAGGCCACACTGCGTTGTGAACCCGAATCCAATAGAGCGCGAACCGTTAAGTAGTCGCCACTTTGGTTGTACACCTTCACTGAGGCCGTCGGCAATAGAACAGTTTGACAGGTGGACTGCTGACGGCTCAAAGGCTCAGTGGAGGCGGCCGTGGTGGGAGCTAGGGCGGCAGCCTCCTATCTGGAGCTGCCACTGCCGGATCGGCACCCGAACCGGGGGTCCCGAGAGCGGCATTCCGATGGCATCTCGATGACCCGCGGCTGGAATTCACCGAACGGTCCGACCTGGGGAGATTCGGGGAACCTCGGCCTCTAGGCCCGGGACAGATACGAGGTCTCAGGAACCCAGTACTACCGGCACCGACCAGAGGAGGGAGGGCGGCGTTCCAGTCGCGGCCACTCAGCTAACGGGGGGGGAGATGGGTCTAGCGGACCGCTGAGGGGGGGCGACAACACCCCCGCCCCTGGGGGAACGACCCCCGACTGGTCGGGGGAGAGGCCCCTTTCAAACCCAGGGGCACGAAGGCCGGTAGGCGAGCAACGAGCATCGCCCGACAGAGGGCGTGGCTGGGCGCCCCCGCCCGTGGGAGCCGATGACCCGGCAGAGACCCTAGTGGATGCGCCGTTCGCACCCAGGCACAAAATTGTATGGTGGGCGCCCTGGCAGTGCGTACAGGGCCGCTGGTGCTGGCAGTCCCTTAGGAGGTGCCTTTTCAGGCAAGAATAACACCAGCGGCGCTCCCTGGCGATGGTTCGCCTCGCCGGGATCGGCTTGCCCAGATACTTTGGGCAGGTTGTCACCCGATGCTCGGATGCCCGACAATAGGAACAGGGGGGCGCCTCCCTGGCCGGTAGTCCGCTATAAGAGGGTAGGGGGCGGCGCCCTCCTGCGGGAGCTCCGCTCGGCCTTAGGGGGGTTGGCGACACCTTGCTCGTCGGATTACGCCTCTCCCTGGGCACCGCTCGGGCGACAACCTGGGGGTCCTCGATGGCGCCTGCTGCGTTCTCCATCTGCCTGCACTGCTCCTCCAAGAACCGCAGCAGGTCCCTGAAGGGAGGAATATAGGAGTTGCCGTCCTCGCCGTACCTCTCCTCGAAATGGAGCCGAAGATCGAGAGGCAGGCGAGACAGCACAATGTGGAGCAATAAAAAGTACCATTCGTCCACCGGTAAATCCAACCGCCTCAATGAGTTGCAAGCCACCACGACTGGATTTACGATGTCCGTACGTAGTCTGGTCCGGTCCTTAAGCAGCGGGAGGTTTAGCAGCTTCCGAACGTAGTCGTCCGCAATCCGCCGGACGTTGGCGTAACTTCTGGAGAGGAGGTCCCAAGCATTCTGGTAGGCGTCGTCCGACAATTTCAAGTGGCCGACGACGCCCAGCGCCTCCCCCTCCAATGAGGCTAGGAGGTACCCCATTTTCTGGCTGGGTGTCAAGTCCCTCCGGGCGTCTACTAGGCTGTCAAACAGACCGACGAAAGTCAGCTATTCGGAGAGGACCCCGGAGAACCGTGGCAGGTCCAGAGTCGGGAGTCATCCTAACAGCTCCGGTTGAGTAGGCTGCTTCCGAGGGGACTCAGGCCGGCCACTCAGCCGAGCTTCACGCGCTTCCTCCGTATCAATGGACCCCGCCTCGATCAAATCGTCCGTGAGTGAAAGGAACTGCTCGTAGTCCGCGCGGCAGGAGTCCAGGACTCCCTTTTCCACCTCCGAGTCCTCGAGCTCAGCGTAAGCCTCCTGCACTGCGGCCCTTCGAGCATCGACCTGCTCGAGCCGCTTCCTCAAGTTATAGACCCTATCTGGTCGACCTATCAAAGCATGGGCGCTAGTGGCCCAGCGCAGCTCCGCCCTCAGGCAACGAATCTGTAGCTTGTGCGATGGCATCACTACTACATACAAAGTAATACGCGGCCCAAACACAAATCAAATTAACAAATAACAAATACAAGTACGATCAAATCAAGTTAAATATGAATTACACAAATAAAATTACTATTTATTAAATTAAATACAAATTACACTACAATTAAAGGCAAATTACAGTCAATCAGCAAATGCCTCGCTCAAACAACCGACCCTTCAACAATTAATCTACTATAATTATACGCCAACGATAATTATTCGATTACGTGATAACCTTATCTACCTAGTCAAAATACCTTACGCGTAAGTACCTAGCCGTAACAACACTACGGGCGTGGTTCCTCCTTCTACCCAGCCAACAAAAAAAAATTATATGTAATTTTTATTACGTACTATTTTTATCTAAATTACGGCCGGATGATTGGAGAACCAATCAACTACGCTCTTGCTACCAGCAATGTTCACGCACCTAGTTGCCCAAACTAAGGTCTACCATACAGCTGTTAGGTTTGACGGACAACTAAGTGTGGGGCTCAAATGCCTATGGATATTTAATATCTATATGGATTAGGTACTTAATGCGACTTACCTGCTTCAGAAGCGAAGACGAGTTACAAGGCTCGTTCAGGCGTCAGGTGTAATGAATGTAAGTAGTGTGTGAGAAGTGTATGTATGTTTAACCCGAATTAGCCCTTTTAATCAGCAGCAACCCTGACTCCGGCACCGCCCTCCGGCGTGGTATTCTCCAGCGGCGGCAGCAATGGACAATTTCTTTCTACAATTCACTATGTCAGATTATCAACTTTATTGTACATTTAACTAACTTCAAGACGCAACTAAATCCCGTTAATTATAATCAAAAAACGTAACACGGGGCACGACTGATGAACGGTGGGTCAAAGTTCACTTACGTTCACTCCGCAACAAATTATTTCGAAATCCGAACGCGACCTTTTAAGGCACTTAACGCAACGGTACAATTAAACATTAACTTCTCAACAATCAGTCAACCCGGCGTCTAATCTTCTAGACTACACAATTCCTCGTCGTTGCATAAATTTGCTAACAAAATCGACACTATGACCACGCGGCTCGATTCGACTCACAGCAAAGCAATGCCCGGTCGCCGCTTGACGACAAAAAATGCCCGATCTACCTCGCGCTCGGCGCGTGCGGGGAGGCGCCCGCGAGCCACGTGCCACGTGCGCTAACGCGCCTCCGTTATAGTAATTTTAAATTTTAGCGTTTGGCGCAAACATTATATGAAAGAAAACCAAAGTTAGGGTTGCCATTATTAGAAGTATCATCTGCATATTTAGTGTATACATTACATCGGAATACGAGAAGGCTTAACGAAAGGTTGTATGGTGTATACGAGGTTAATATTATCGTAGGATTATAATATGAAATGCGAAGTGAAATAGGCATCACTGACGTTATTATAACTCGATTATTCTATACTATAAGTCGGAAATTCTTGTATATATTTGAATAACTGGTTTCATAGAACCGGCTCTAACGATTTGGATGAAACTTGGTTTTCAAATAATATTTTACTTTCCAAGTTTACATAGATTGGTATCATCCATCTCTGAGAAAAAAAAATTCTAACGCCGCCCAGTTACTCTAATTAAAACAACGATAATAATGTCTTTATTAACATTTATTTCAATTTTTTTATAAAAACTTTCTAATAAACATTTTGAGATTATTTCCCAAATTTAGAAAAAAAGTTCAATGACTCGCGTTTCAAATGAAATTTTAAACATTTCAAGTTTATCTTTTAAGCTACCGTTGTTTGTAATTGAGTACTTTAGACTTAAGTAACAATAATTTTAAGCTTTGCTTAATAGTTCTCTGCATAATCTTACTTGGAAATGAAGTACCTATTTACGTAGGATTATATTGGTAAATGCATTAAGGTTTTCAAATAAAAATCCAACGATCAATCAACAAAATACTAGTCCTACGAATTGATAATATTTTTGTAAGTTTATTAAAATCTTCAGCAATATTCATTTCTAAATGGGTAGAGAACCGAAGACACTTAAATATGGAAATCTTATCTTGGAATATCTCACAGTTTGTAATAATACTCATTACAAAATAAGGTACCCTGTGGCCTCGAAATATAATACTTTATGTCTCAGACACGCAAGTTTTCTCCTGATATTCATCTTCACAGTCGAGCAAATGGTAAATCAACGCTTAAAAGTGTAATTAACAATTACTAGAAATTATGTGCATTTTGATTCTTAACTGAGAATAGGTATAAATGTTGATAGGCCACAGCATACACAAACCATTAGATATGCTCATTTGTCACCTTTATTCTATAAATAACGTATATATATATATGTGTGTGTGTGTAAACGATTATTATATTCTGTGATTGATCGGTGCTTGTAATTATTTTCAACCGTATTCAAAAAACGAAAAAAAAATAGTCAGTTACCTTAAGACCTCCTCCATTGGTCATTTCCATTTTCAATTTCACATTTCCATTTTCGATCTTAATATTTTAAATGTTACAAAGGTAATTAAATAAAAAAAATCTTTCTAGCGTCCCCTACGAGGAATTACGTCAGCGTTATCTACAGTTCTCGGTCTATGACTTCGATCGTTTTAGCCGACACGATTTAATCGGTCACGTTGTACTCAAGGGACTTTTGGAATCTGCCGACCTGACACAGGAGATCGAATATACAATGAACATCCTGGCAGCACCGCAGGTAATCTAATCTTAACTTAATATTTATCATTGATATATAATAAACATTAGATATGATAAGAACACACTTCTTTTTCAGTAGGTACTAAATCACTGAGGGAATCCCCGAAGTATATGAGAATGTCAGTCTATGTTACGTTCCGTTCCTAGGCATAGGCTTTCTCTCATTTTTGAAAAGGGCTAATTAAAACTAAAGTGACAAACGAACTTACAGTCCATTTCAAACAAAGAATACTATAGATAAGTCCGCTCGCGTGAGGGCTACGATGGAATATCTCACAGTTTGTAATAATACTCTTTACGAAATAAGGTATCCTGTGCCCTCGAAATATAATATTTTATATCTCAGACACGCAAGTTTTCTCCTGATATCAGTCTTCACCGTCGAGCAAATGCTAAATCAACGCTGACAAGTGTAATTAACAATTTCATGTTGTTGGTGGAGATTAAAAGAATTGCTCGAGTGTTTCAAAATTTACTGCGAACACTTAGTCACTAAGCTAACACTTACTTAAAAAATAACTTTATCTTAAGAATATTTGTTTGCTAGTGTGCCGCGGTAGCTCAGAAGATAAACGCTTGCTCTAACTTTCACAGTACGCGAGCAACTCGGCTTCGTTTCCCGCGGATATCAATTAAATTACTAATTACAATGTTAAGTGTTGCTTTAATGTGCTCGACGGCGAAGAAAAACATTGGGTAGAAACATCTACAAGTCTGAGAAATAAAAAAAAAATCGAAGACACGTGAATTCCGCCAACACACATTGGGACAGCGCGGCAGACATTTTCTTGTCCTAAATCCTTATGAGAAATAAGAGAAGTTAAATGCGTAGCAGTGGAATGTATAAGTAGTGTAAATTTACTTTGACTTTACTTTTGTCAAAATGTTTTCCTGAAAGTTCGTCTGAAAACATATTAATACACCCAAACAATGTTAATAAAATAATAGAAAAACGTTTGCCGCGTAATTGTGATGAATTCTTATATGAATTGAGTCTACAGGCTTCGAGCTTATTGCAAGCAATATGAAGACGTAACTTAATGTGTGTAGTATAAGAAAGGAAATGGAAGCAGTTTTTTCTTATTTTCGGGCCTAATTATATAATAATGTTATTCCCTTTGATAAAGCCACATTACTTGAAAATTGTTGCTTAAAATATAGCATTAACTGATGATTAATATCCAGTGGATTATTTCATCGAATAATATTATTCCTTTATGCTTAATTACGCAAGACTAAGTATCATTAATCAAGTGCTTCACGAGCAATATTATCATTTCTTGCCCAATTTTCGTTTAAGATGATCCTTTTGGGGCAAGTTTCAAGGCCTTGGACCTTTATCATATATTTTCACAATGGAGAGTTAAAATTGCATGTATATAATTCTGTTGAATCAATATTGCATAATATTATTATATCGATTCGATATTGAGAGCGTTTATGCTTTAAAAAAAAACAGCGGTTGCCAACCCAACTGTGAGACAAATGTCTCCCCTTTAGGACAATATTCGGGGGAGGCCCATGTTCAGCAGTAGAATTTTGATAGGCTTTAACCGAATATAATTAAAAAATATTTTTACTTTTGGATACCTTAAAATTCTATTTAAATAAAACAACGATACCTAAATTATCAATCCAGATTTTTTTTTTAATTTAACTTAGTAAAGGTTTTTAGTCTGTAGTACTTAGATGTTAAAATTTAATATTATTTTCTGCGATTAACTTTCGCTCCTGTAACCGCAACAAATGTTCTCTCAAGGATTACCAAACAAGTTTTTTGGTTGAATTTAATTTCGAATTTTTCAATAATTTATTTTTTAATGTTTTGTTCTGGATGTAAAACAGATTTTCATTACGTTGACATATTTATATAGGCAACGTAATGAAATAAATAAATATACATATATGTGTATATATATATATATATACACACATATATATATATATATATATATATATATATATATATATATATATATATATATATATTTACATATATATATATGTAGTGGCGGTCAAGAATATCCACTACCCCATATCTTCCCGTGGGTGTCGTAAAAGGCGACAAAGGGAAACAGCCAGGAGATGGGCAGCAGCATCTTCCTGATAATAGCCAAATGACAATAAAAAAACTGCGGTTGCCAACCCGCTCGCCAAGCGTGGCAACTATGGCAAATACCCCCCAATGATGAGAGCAACAAAAAAACGGCCCCCAGTCCCCGGCGGCCCCGCTATTCCTGGCTACGGTGGCGACCATGGTAACGGCGGGGCAGGGGGTGCTAAGAATCTCCGGTGGAGGTTCGGTTGCCACCTTAGACGACTCGACCTGGCAACGTACAACGCACGCACCCTGAGGACTGACGAGAAGATCGTGGAGCTGGAAGAAGAAATAGACAAGTTGCGCTGGCATATTATAGGATTATCTGAAGTCCGAAGAGAGGGGGAGGACACGGTAATCCTCGAATCCGGCAACTTGCTCTATCACCGGGAGGGCGACCATCTGTCCCAAGGAGGTGTCGGATTTATCGTCCACAAGTCTCTCGTTAACAACGTTGTAAAAATCGGGAGTGTGTCGACGAGGGTTGCGTACCTTATACTCAGAATCACCAAACGGTATTCGCTGAAGGTCATACAGGTTTACGCACCAACCTCGGCACACCCCGATGAGGAGGTGGAGGAAATGTATGAGGATATCTCTAGAGCCATGCATTCCTCCAAAACCCAATATACGGTGTTAATGGGAGACTTCAATGCAAAACTAGGCACAAGAGAGAACGGTGAGCTGAAAGTAGGGAAATTTGGAATAGGGCAACGGAACCCAAGGGGCCAGCAGCTGGCCGACTTCATGGAGAAAGAGGGACTCTTTATGATGAACTCTTTCTTCCAGAAGCGGCCCCACAGGAAGTGGACCTGGTCGAGCCCCGACGGTTCCACAAAAAATGAGATTGACTTCATTATGACGACCAGACGACAACTGTTCAGTGATGTCTCCGTGATCGCGAGGGTGAAAACTGGTAGCGATCACCGAATGGTTAGAGGCACACTAAACCTAAACGTTAAGTTGGAGAGGTCTCGTCTAATGAAGTCAACGCTCCGTCCCCCTCGTGCTCTGTTTCAAAGTCCCGAAACCTTTCAGCTCGAGTTACAAAACCGTTTTCAGTGCCTAGAAGACTGCAATGAAGTGGACGATATGAATGACAAGCTCGTGGAAACTGTCCATGCGGTTGGAGCTAAGTTCTGCAAGACCCGCCGCAGAAGAACACAAAAACTCTCCGATCACACTCTTAATCTCATGGCTGTTAGACGGGAGATGAAGCTACATTCTTCAACAGACTTGACAGCATATAGGCATCTGAACAGACAGATCTCCAAATGCATGCGGCGGGACTTACGCAACTTCAATACAGCTCGTATTGAAGAAGCGATCGAGCGGAACCAAGGCTCCAAAGTCTTTGCCAGAGATCTGTCTGCCAGAAAGAGCCAACTGTCAAAGCTGAAGACAGAATGTGGCAGCATCGTTTCCGGGACACCTGAGATTTTGAGTGAGATTGAGAGGTTCTATGGGCAGCTGTACACATCATCGTTGGAGCCACACGCAAGTGTGAGTAACGATCCAAGAGCGAGTCTCATCCGACACTATTCCGAAGATATCCCGGATGTCAGTCTAAACGAGATTAGGATGGCTCTCCAGCACCTTAAAAACGGTAAGGCCCCAGGCGAGGATGGAATTACAGCGGAGCTTCTGAAAGCGGGTGGAAGACCGGTACTTGAAGTCCTTCAGAAGCTCTTTAATTCCGTCCTCCATGGTGGCATTACACCGGAGGCGTGGAGCAGAAGTGCGGTGGTCTTGTTCTTCAAGAAAGGTGACAACGCTCTCTTGAAGAACTACAGACCGATTTCCCTTCTGAGCCGCGTCTACGTGCTGTTTTCGAGAGTCATTACGAATCGTCTCGCGCGCAGACTTGACGACTTCCAGCCTCCCGAACAAGCCGGTTTCCGAAAGGGCTTTAGCACCATAGACCACATACATACCCTTCGGCAAGTTGTACAGAAGTCCGAAGAGTACAATTTGCCACTATGTCTGGCGTATGTGGACTATGAGAAAGCCTTTGATTCCGTCGAAATTTGGGCGGTGCTGCAGTCCCTTCAGCGGTGCCAAGTTGACTGTCGGTATATCGAAGTGTTGAAGTGCTTGTACAGTAGGGCTACGATGGCTATCCGAGTACAGAACCAGAGTACGAAACCTATCCAATTGCAGAGAGGTGTAAGACAGGGTGACGTCATATCCCCGAAACTCTTCACCGCTGCATTGGAAGACGTTTTCAAGCTTCTGGACTGGAAAGGATACGGTATCAACATCAATGGCGAGTACATCACTCACCTTCGATTTGCCGACGATATAGTCCTTATGGCAGAATCGCTGGAGGACCTAAGCACTATGCTCAATGACCTCAATAGTGTTTCCCAACGGATAGGTCTTAAGATGAACATGGACAAAACTAAGATCATGTTTAATGTCCATGTCACACCTATGCCGATAGTTGTTGGGAACACTAAGCTCGAAGTTGTTGACGAGTATGTTTACCTGGGACAAATAGTCCGACTGGGTAAGTCCAACTTCGACCGAGAGGTCAATCGACGGATTCAACTCGGCTGGGCAGCGTTCGGGAAGCTACGACACATCTTCTCGTCAGACATACCTCAAAACCTTAAAACGAAATTGTACAACCAGTGCGTGTTGCCAGTGATGACTTACGGAACTGAGACGTGGTCCTTCACTGCTGGCCGTATGAGGAAGCTCAAGGTCGCTCAGCGAGCTATGGAGAGGGCTATGCTCGGAGTTTCTCTGCGTGATAAACTTAGGAATGAGGATATCCGCAGTAGAACCAGAGTGACCGACATAGCCCAACGGATTAGTAAGCTGAAGTGGCAGTGGGCCGGCCATATAGCTCGAAGAACCGACAACCGATGGGGAAGAAAGGTTCTCGAGTGGCAGCCTCGTACCGGTAGGCGAAGTGTAGGGCGTCCCCCCACGAGATGGAGTGACGACCTGGTAAGACATGCAGGAAGTCGATGGATGCAGGTGGCTCAGGACCGTGTTTTGTGGCATTCTTTGGGGGAGGCCTATGTTCAGCAGTGGACTTGTGAAGGGCTGTAATGATGATGATGATGATTTATATATATATATATGTCGGAGCGTCTATAAAATACCGTTTGGATCGAGGTGAAATTGAGGGTATATCGAGAAACCCCCACTTGTTGGTGCAGTATCAAGTTCGATGTAGGCGCCGTGCACGGGAGATTCCGCCTAAGTCATTGAACGAGTGTAGTCATACTACTAGTGCTAAGATAGTGTCGTGGTTCTCTTCTTCTAGTGCAGGCAAGGAGGATTAGTGTTGCTGAGAGGCTGTTTGTGTTACACTGAGAGAAATAGTGTTGCTGTTGGTTTGCATATTTTGATGTTAACATGTAATTATGTACGTCACGTTACACTGGTGTGTGATTGTGGCAGGGACGTCTTACGGTGTGGTCGAACTGTAATCACTCTGTACTGAATGTATAGTGTAAGCAAGAGATTATTTGCGTAAGCAAAAGAGCAAGTTGAACATCCGCTCTCCGTTTATTTAAAAAACGTTTCTGACTTAATTTTTTTTAACAGGAAAAGAAAGATCTAGGCGAGTTAATGCTTTCGCTGTGCTACTTGCCGACCGCTGGCCGTCTTACGGTGACTGTTATTAAAGGAAGAAATTTAAAAGCTATGGATATAAATGGTTCTTCAGGTAAGCAGTAGAACTAAATTATTTTAATTTTAACTATTTAAAAATACTAGCCATGCTGTTAACATTACTAATATTCCGTTTATCCACTTCTGGTAAGCTAAAAAGGCTTGTGTTAGTAGTGGTTTACGATATTAGTCGAATGACGAATTCTAACCCGCGACCTTTGAGTTCGCAGTCCGCACCTTGCCATTAGGCTACTGTCGCTTTTAAAATTAGTGACATCTCTTTTACAGTTTTTGCTTGAGTTTTGTTTTTGTTTTTTAGGTTTTGTTTAATAAGTTTAAACAACAAATAACTTCTAAGTGAAAATATTGCAACGTCTTAACAATACCTTTTGTTGTAGATCCGTATGTCAAAGTCAGCCTGATATGTCAAGGCAAACGAATCAAAAAGAAGAAAACGACTGTTAAAAAGAATACACTTAGTCCGGTGTACAATGAGGCTTTGGTTTTCGACTTGCCTTACGAAAATGTGTATGACGTCACTTTGTTGGTTAAAGTCATCGATTACGACATGTAAGTCAATAATATGATTATTATACTATTATGAGTCCATATTGAATAATAATTAAATATTTTATCATAATTGTATATAATTGATAATTATGTATATTTTACGTAGTGAATGTGTCAACAAATTGTACTGTGTTGTATAGTATAGTAGAATTATGTATAAAAGATTTAGACTTGAAGAATGTATCGAATAATATTAAAAAAGTTTTGGTGGATGCAGCCATCGAAGTATGTGGTGTAAGTAAGAAAACGAATGAAAGGAAAATTAATACGTTGTGGTGGGATGATGATTTACGGATTGAAGTTGAAGCAAAGAAGAGAGCATGGCTAGATTTCATCTTCATCATCATCATCATTACAGCCTTTGATAAGTCCACTGCTGAACATAGGCCTCCCTCAAGGAATGCCACAAAGCACGGTCCTGAGCCACCTGCATCCATCGACTTCCTGCATGTCTTACCAGGTCGTCACTCCATCTCGTGGGGTGTCGCCCTACACTTCGCCTACCAGTACGAGGCTGCCACTCAAGAACCTTTCTTCCCCATCGGTTGTCGGTTCTTCGAGCTATATGGCCGGTCCACTGCCACTTCAGCTTACTAATCCATTGGGCTATGTCGGTTACTCTGGTTCTACTGCGGATATCCTCATTTCTAAGTTTATCACGCAGAGAAACTCCGAGCATAGCCCTCTCCATAGCTCGCTGAGCGACCTTGAGCTTCCTCATACGGCCAGCAGTGAAGGACCACGTCTTAGGTCCGTAAGTCATCACTGGCAACACGCACTGGTTGTACAATTTCGTTAGGTTTCGTAAGGTTTTGAGGTATGTCTGACGAGAAGATGTGTCGTAGCTTCCCGAACGCTGCCCAGCCGAGTTGAATGCGTCGATTGACCTCTCGGTCGAAGTTGGACTTACTTAGTCGGACTATTTGTCCCAGGTAAACATACTCGTCAACAACTTCGAGCTTAGTGCTCTCAACAATTACCGGCATAGGTGTGACATGGACATTAAACATAATCTTTGTTATGTCCAAGTTCATCATAAGACCTGTCCGTTGGGAGACACTATTAAAGGTCATTGAGCATAGTGCTTAGATCCTCCAGCGATTCTGCCATAAGGACTATATCGTCGGCAAATCGAAGGTGAGTGATGTACTCGTCATTGATGTTAAAACCGTATCCTTTCCAGTCCAGAAGCTTGAAAACGTCTTCCAATGCAGCGGTGAAGAGTTTCGGGGATATAACGTCACCCTGTCTTACACCTCTCTGCAATTGGATAGGTTTCGTACTCTGATTCTGTACTCGGATAGCCATCGTAGCCCTACTGTACAAGCACTTCAGCACTTCGATATACCGACAGTCAACTTTGCACCGCTGAAGGGACTGCAGCACCGCCCAAATTTCGACGGAATCAAAGGCTTTCTCCATAGTCCTCATACGCCAGACATAGTGGCAAATTGTACTCCTTTGACTTCTGTACAATTTGCCGAAGGGTATATATGTGGTCTATGGTGCTAAAGCCCTTTCGGAAACCGGATTGTTCGGGAGGCTGGAAGTCATCAAGTCTGCGTGCGAGACGATTCGTAATGACTCTCGAAAACAGCACGTAGACGCGGCTCAGAAGGGAAATCGGTCTGTAGTTCTTCAAGAGAGCGTTGTCACCTTTCTTGAAGAACAAGACCACCGCACATCTACTCCACGCCTCCGGTGTAATGCCACCATGGAGGACGGAATTAAAGAGCCTCTGAAGGACTTCAAGTATCGGTTTTCCACCCGCTTTCAGAAGCTCCGCTGTAATTCCATCCTCGCCTGGGGCCTTGACATTTTTAAGATGCTGGAGAGCCATTCTAATCTCGTTCAGACTGACGTCCGGGATATCTACGGAATAGTGTCGGATAAGACTCACTCTTGGATCGTTATCCACACTTGCGTGCGGCTCCAACGATGACGTGTACAGCTGTCCATAGAACCTCTCAATCTCACTCAAAATCTCAGGTGCCCCAGAAACTATGCTGCCACACTCTGTATTCAGCTTTGACAGTTGGCTCTTTCTGGCAGACAGATCTCTGTCAAAGACTTTAGAGCCTTGGTTCCGCTCGATCGCTTCTTCAATACAAGCTGTATTGAAGTTGCGTAAGTCCCGCCGCATGCATTTGAAGATCTGTCTGTTCAGTTGCCTGTATGCTGTCAAATCTTCAACAGATTGGAACAGAATGTAGCTTCATCTCCCGTCTAACAGCCATGAGATTAAGAGTGTGATTGGAGATTTTTTGTGTTCTTCTGCGGCGGGTCTTGCAGAACTTAGCTCCGACCGCATGGACAGTTTCCACGAGCTTGTCATTCATATTGTCCACTTCATTGCAGTCTTCTAGGCACTGAAAACGGTTTTGTTACTCGAGCTGAAAGGTTTCGGGACTTTGGAACAGAGCACGAGGGAGACGGAGCGTTGACTTCATTAGACGAGACCTCTCCAACTTAACGTTTAGATTTAGTGTGCCTCTAACCATTCGGTAATCGCTACCAGTTTTCACCCTCGCGATCACGGAGACATCACTGAACAATTGTCGTCTGGTCGTCATAATGAAGTCAATCTCATTTTTTGTGGAACCGTCGGGGCTCGGTCAGGTCCACTTCTTGTGGGGCCGCTTCTGGAAGAAAGAATTCATCATAAAGAGTCCCTCTTTCTCCATGAAGTCGGCCAGCTGCTGGCCCCTTGGGTTCCGTTGCCCTATTCCGAATTTTCCTATTTTCAGCTCACCGTTCTCTCTTGTGCCTAGTTTTGCATTGAAATCTCCCATTAACACCGTATATTGGGTTTTGGAGGAATGCATGGCTCTAGAGATATCCTCATACATTTCCTCCACCTCCTGATCGGGGTGTGCCGAGGTTGGTGCGTAAACCTGTATGACCTTCAGTGAATACCGTTTGGTGATTCTGAGTATAAGGTACGCAACCCTCGTCGACACACTCCCGATCTTTACATCGTTGTTAACGAGAGACTTGTGGACGATAAATCCGACACCTCCTAGGGACCGACCCTCCCGGTGATAGAGCAAGTTGCCGGATTCGAGGATTACCGTGTCCTCCCCCTCTCTTCGGACTTCGGATAATCCTATAATATGCCAGCGTAACTTGTGTATCTCTTCTTCCAGCTCCACGATCTTTTCGTCAGTCCTCAGGGTGTGTGCGTTGTACGTTGCCAGGTCGAGTCGCCTAAGGTAGCAACCGAATCTCCACCGGAGATTCTTAGCACCCCCTGCCCCGCCGTTACCATGATCGCCACCGTAGCCAGGAATAGCGGGGCCGCCTGGGACTGGGGGCCGTCTGTTTGTTGCTCTAATCATTGGGGGTATTTGCCATAGTTGCCACGCTTGGCGAGCAGGTTGGCAACCGCAGTTTTTTATTGTAATTTTGGCTATTATCAGGAAGATGCTGTTGCGCATCTCCTGCCTGTTTCCCTTTGTCGCCTTTTACGACACCCACGGGAAGATATGGGGTAGTGGATATTCTTGACCGCTACTACACGGTACTAGAAAGGTTTTTGTGCGTTCATGGACTTGGAAAAGGCTTATGACAGAGTGGACAGTAATGTGTTATGGCAAACACTGAACTCATTTGGGTTGAGCGCTGGCTTGATACAGGCATTAAGGTCTCTTTATAGGGACTAGTGCTTGTTTCAGGATCAACGGGGTCTACTCGGACTGGTTGGGCATTAATAAAGGTGTCAGACAGGGATATGTGGCTTCCCCGTGGCTGTTTAACCTATTTATGGACAGTTGTTTGCAAACTTTGAAAGTTGAAGAATGTGGGTTGAGAACGGGTGAGTTAACCGTCAAATTCCTTTTGTACGCCGATGATGAAGTCATATTTGCATCGTCGGCGGCCGAGTTGCAAATGATGGTTACTTTAATGAACTATATATATATATATATAACTTCGTTGAAAGATAAGGGTATGAAAGTGAATAGAAGGGGAGTTGATTGAGCAAGTGGATGAGTTTGTATATTTGGGATGTTTATTTAGCAGGGATGGTAGATATGATAAGGATATAGAACGACGAGTGAACGCAGGAAATAGAGTGAATGGGGCTCTACACGCTATTATGAGGAGTCAGAATGTGTCAAATAAGATACGTATGGCAACTCGAGGCAAGGCGAGAGAAGTGTGTCAGGATTGCGCCAAATGGAAGTCCGTAGTCTCTGCCTACGCCTTTGGGTGACAGACGTGAGTGTTTTGTGTATAGTGTACTGTGTAAAGTGTGCAGATATCTTTCTTTTATTTTGTTTTTTCTTTTAACAAACGTTACAACCAAACTAGGATTTTCTCCTGTATCGTGGAGGCAGCTTACAAACATAAATTGCACGAGGACAAACGTCCAGACCCGGAACAATTTTTGTAGGCCATACAAATACTTGTTCCGTGCGGGATTCGAACCCGCAGCCCCCAGCGCAACAACTCATTGCTAAGCCACTGCGCCACGGAGCCGTCACTATAATATAGTTTATTATATTCTGCATAGACTCCTACAGCCCTTAATATCTATTGCTTAGCTTATTTAGATGATTATAGACATTGATTCCTCCACATGCTTAGTATATATAGTATTTATTTATTTATTTAAACTTTTATAAAGTAATAGTCCTGTGCAAATTTGTATTCAACCAGCCAGCCAGCTAGCTCGTTGGTGATGTGGCCGTAACTGTTGATAATGTGGTCCTGGATCCGAAAATGTTTGGTTTTTCTGCCAAGAAATTCTCAGAGAAAATTGACGGTATTTCACCTTGTACCCCGAAAACACTAAAGTTTAAAGGCGTTGGCTTTACGCCTGATCTACCTCCGGTCGCTTCGGATTGGCATCCCATCCGACTATAAGAGTGAGGGAATAAAGAGTGCACTATAATCCTGTCCTGCGCAGATGGCTAGTCTCCGTTGATACTGGCGTGTGATGGACAATTGGACTATTATTATTATTATTGTATTAAAAACCAATGTAAATTCATTTTCTTTTTTGTATCATAGGATTGGCTCCAATGAGTTGATCGGCTGCACAGCTATTGGCTCTTCACTGATTGGTATTGGGCGAGACCACTGGTTGGAGATGTTGGACAATTCACGGAAACCAGTCGCGCAATGGTACCCTCTCAATAAAAGCTTGCCGACGAATATTTCCTTACCAAGCAACCATCAACAGAACGCTGGCTTGAGCTGTTTAAATGGAAGGTAAAATATGTTTTTTTTCTATCGTCTTAGCGTTAAATAAAAATGTTCAGCAATGGACTTGTGAAGGACTATAATGAATGAATGAAATAGGTAGGATATTTACTCTAGTCACCAGACTTAGCAGGCGCGTCGCCACTCCACTTCAAAAATAACATTTTTTTTTCTGTTATTTGTAACTCCCGCAGAGGAAATATATGCCATAGTTGTGATTGCAAAAACTGCACCATAATGCTATGCGGTGAAATTTTGACTAAAGAGCATGCTTTGATTCCTTGTCATATTATTCGCTTTTAAGTAACTGACGGAAAGAGGATACCAGCGGAGTTTCTTTCGCCGATTCTTCTCTGTACAGATGAAGCTAATTTTTAAACGGTAGTAAATTATAAAATATGTTGACGATTGAGAAAGGAAATTTTAAATTCTTATATCGAAAAATATTTTATAGTTTTCATTTCCTTTCCTTTAATTTCTCTCTCGTATTGTGAGTAACAAAAGCCACTTCTTACTGCTATCAAGCTCCATCTCGGAACTCATACGTGACAACGCATTTCTGCATTTTTCATTCTTAACTGGGGATACTTTGACTATAGTATATTATAATCAAAGTGAGGGTAGATGCAGGTGTCCATGAGCCGTAGTAAAATTTACTTAAGCAAATGGTGAATTGAATGCTTGTTTGTCATCCTTTCTTCAATAAAATTAATTAACTATTCATATGATAAATTAGATTTGAAAATAAAATATTAATTATAAAGAGATACATCAAGGTTCTTAACGGAACTTATTTTATCTTCATTTGATGCTTTCTAGATGAAGAGACAAATTTAAACCATCGGAAGCGACAACATCACGGACGACGCGGAAAGACAGGAATCAATGACTTCATTATTTACGATTTGCCGATCAGGTAATCTCGAGATGCCAAAATTGTAACCGTAGGTAAACTTGTTTAGAATGATAAAACGGTTGTATGTCCATTTACTGTAGCGAAGGTAAAATATAACTTTGGATATTAAGTGATAATGAAGGTAGAGACATAGATTATATTTAAAAATATTAATTATAATTAGATATCAGTGTTGAAGTAGAAGATGAATTTATTCCTTAAAATTCTTATAATTTATCCTAAGTGATATACTTTATTACCCTGAAAATTTCTTTTATAGTAGCCGTAGTGTTTAAAGTAGATATAAATTTTGTGACATCGTCTGATATTTAATCAATGTAACGTTTTTATGCCATTGTTAACTTTGATCCGTAACATTATTTACCCAGATATGTAACGATTGACTGTCAATACTTTATTTTTTTTGTATTTGTATCTGCATAAATACGCACATTTCAAATTCAAGACTTGAACGTATCATGTTAATAATAAGTGACTTGTAACAACTATTATTGATGTTGTGAATTTGTTGTATTTCATATAACGTAAGCACGTTTAAAAGTCTCATAGTAATTTGGTACTTGACACCATCGTCAAAAAACTACTACTTAACATAATTTGAATTTGCCAGTTTTATTAGTATCTCAAAAAATTGCCTATTTCCGTTTATAAAGCTATGATGTCATTTACCAGAATTCTCGCAAAATTTCTATAGAAAGTTTAGTTTAGACAGCTTTTAAAAAGTAATTGAATTGACGCGTGAGTGTCTTTTACCCTATATTTACCAAATATTATTACATAATTTTGATGATGCAATCATTTTAAGCGACACTGAGATAATTGAAAACTATTACGCAAATATCTCATATATATTGTAAATTATGAATGTTCAGAACATTCTTTTAGTGTCGGACAATAATGTAGCTGGACTTTTGCAAGGAATTTTACTAACAATATCTTCTTTTTACTAAATATTGCACAATGTAAAAGATTTGTTACGTACGTTACTGTTTTTATAAGATAAAATTGAAGCTTTAAATCGTGTTAAAATTAAATATAATATTTAAATATATATATGTATGTATAGTACTATATTATTTTGACTAGATGTTGTAAGATGAGGTATCGCTTGAAACAAGATGGAAAAAACTATAAATACACTTGCTTGCTTATTTATATTGAACTGTAAATGGAAAGTATAATATAATCTTCGTTGCTATTTATTGTATAGTAAGTAGAAATAACGCTATTGACAGTTTATAAAACTGTTGTAAAATTGTATTCTACGAATTTCATTTCAAAGCCACAGTAAAAAATCGGGTAAAACTATAGACATTCGGTATTCATATACGGGAGCGGGAGTGGAAGGGGGAGGGGGCGGGTTCAGAGGAAGATGTAATGTGAATTGTTATAATATTTTTTTATAAAAAATCTCTTGAATGCTCTCCACTGCGACTCAAGTCCGAGTAATTAGTTTTCTTATGGGTGACCCGTTTCGTTTTATGCAATTTTTAGTCAGTGAAATTTATTTTTATCGTAATTAATTCAAAACACATTTCCGAAATCCAAAATCAGTGTAAAAGTGAAGCTTAACCCTAACTAACCTCCTAAACTAAAAACATAATTAAAATCAAGTACCGGACGTCTACTTCATAATACTAGACCGAATTAATATATATGTGCGTTTCGTTATACGTAATTTTTAGTGAAATTTATATTTATCATAATTAATTCAAAACACATTTCCTAATTCCAAAAGCAGTTTAAAAGGTTCAACCTTAACCCTGACAAACCTCCCAAACTGAAAACATAATTAAAATCATGTACCGGATGTTTATAACCAACCCATAAATCAGTTCAGCGTTAAAAGATAACTTTAATCGAAGTGAAAATATAATTGTCACTAAAATATTATGTACTTATGTAGTTATTTAAGACTGTAGTTAAAATATGAATAAAATGCTGAACAAAAACATCTATTATAGATTTAATAAAAAAAACATGTGTGATGTACACAAAAAAAACATGTGTACATCTTAGGGCTTCATTATTATAAATTTGAGTTACATATTCAAAGCTCAAATTTAAGGTATTCTAAGAAAGTCATATCATCAAGCTACTGTAGCTAAAGAGTATATAATCACTACATTTATTATAGCTTTTTATAAAGTTTATCTGTTTATAAAATATATTTAAGGCTGAATGAAAAATGTATACGTTTGCGAAGTATTGCGTGTCGTTGTGACAAAAAATTGTTTGACTATACCTGATACGGAATTCACATTTGAGAATATATAAATTAATATAATTTCCCCAGTACTATATTGCAAAACGATTGACAATGAACTGTTTTTGGCGAGACAAAAATGCACTGGGTTCTACGCCGCGAGTTCTGCGTTTGATTATCAGCTAGAGCTAAAAATTTGAGACAAAGCACAAATTGTTTGTTTTCAGGTCTAGCTGTTTTGTGATTATAAACATATCTCTGTCATTGCATCCTCTACTCTGAACATTAGATTGTTCACAGGTAAGACGAGGAAGTGTTGCTGTGCTTTCACATGCACTTATGGTATATTAACTATTGTACAGTCATTTACATGCTTCTGACTAACCAGGAGTTGCTACTATGACTGTCTGAAAATTGGCCAGGAAGATATTATGTTAAAATTAAACATCAAAATAATTTGTCAGTTTCCTCATTCTCCAAAAATAAATTATTGAGTATAAAATATTTTTGTTTCTCCATATAATAATTGTACAGTTCTGCTTTATTTATTAGTCCTATTATATTAAAATATAATTCTGTTAATAATTTACAAAATCGATATTAATGGTTCGTTTATATTGGTGAATGATTAATATGACTGTAAGTTAGAGTTTGAGGCGTTGTTTGTACTTTACTAAGTACGTCTTAAAACATCAAACTTTTGTAGGGTGCGTAGCAGGACATTTCGACCTGATGCTACTTCTTAGTATACTCGTATAAAGTTAATTATATTTGTAAAACCGTATTGTATAATTTTTTATATATTTTATATAAAAATCGGGAAGAGTTAAATAATAAGAAATGAATCAAGAAAAGATGATTATTGATGCCAGATCTGTATCAAACAGACCGATGGTGTTATGTAATATCATAATATAGCCTACTTCTTTCTAAAGCTGGCTACGCACCTGCAAAATCCCTGGTGTTGCAGATATTCATTGGCTACGGTGTTCGCTTGCCAGCAGGTAGCTGCTCGTTTTCCTCCTCTTCCATAAAGAAATCTATGCTTTCTAATTTAAATTTTTTAAAGGAGGTATTATTGCATATTGCACAAAAATTAAGAATGATTCACAAATATCTTTATGTTGCTTGATTCTATTCTTCGTACACAAAATCGTGTACATATAAGAAAATTATATATAAGTGCACTTTGTGAAGATGAACCATCTTAGTTTGTTACTCAATTACTCATAATCAGATCAACGGATTTAGATGTAATTTGGCACTCCGGCTATATCCGGGAACAAAAGGAAAATGAACATAAAATGCTTCTACACAATATATTTTAACTGTAACGTTATTTGCCACATGATATTTTTATTTATAACTATTCATTCTACGAGATTGGATATTTATATAAATGGAAACTTAAATTTTCGTGAGATTTCTTATTTTATTTTGCAGTTAATATAGAAATCAATTCTACCATAGTTCTCATATTAAATACTCGTAATATCAATTTAAATATAATTAGGTACATAATCGATGTGAAGAAAATATAATAAATAAACGAAATAAATAACTAAGTGTCGTATTCCATGTTCGAGATGTATATTGTTCTGTCAAACCTTATACTACAAAATTGATCCTGTATTTCCTTTCTAACCTCGGGAAGAATTACAATGGAAATGAGAGTACAAGAAATGGTTGAATGAGAGTTAATTATTTTTGTATGGGACTAGAATACTTCGTGCTAAATACTTAAGTCTTTGTACTAAACTCTATAAATGGTAAAATAAAAATTAAGTACTTATACTGATTTATGAATAAAATGTTGACTTTATAAGATTAATCTTTTAATTTCGTCAATTCCTTAATGTGGTAGAACGATGTTGCTGCTATTTAATGGTTG